CTTTCCCCCCCCTTTCCCCCCCCCCCTTCCCCCCCCCCCTTCCCCCCACCATCACCATCACCATCAACCGCCGCACAAACGCGCAGATGGCGGCGCGCTGGGTCGCCATCTGCAGCTGGCCGCGAGCTTCACATCGCCTCGCAACAACCGGAACGGCGGCACCGGCGCCCCTGGTGGGTTCGGAGGTGGACCCGGACCAATCTACTCATCCTTCTCCCCCTTCGCCAACCCGTCCTCTCCACCTGCAGTGCCCCATCTGGGTGGTGGCAGTGGTGGTGGTGGTGGTGGTGGTTTGGAGGTGGAGGTGGAGTCTTTGGTATCCGGGTGCAGCAGGGCGATTGCGGGCATCTTGCATGGCCTTGCGGAGATGGAGGCGCAGGGACAGATCAACAAGGACGTCAGGTGGGGGCCGGCGGATGGGGGAAAGACGAACCACACACGATTGAAGCTGCTGCCAGGGCAAGAGAGTATCAAACGTAGAACTGACCGAAAGGCGTCCTTGGAGACCGTGACCTCGGGATGACGAAGTGAAGAGGATGTCGGAAAGACTACCTACCTACGCCGCCAGAACTAAAAAAGAAGAATTAGTATTGCCAAGCCGTAAAGAAGTAGGTGTACAAAAGTAGGTGTGAAGGCGGCGGAAAAGTGGCAAAGCAGTGCTGTCGTAAAGCTGGCTAATAGTTGCTGGCCTGGAGAAATAGCTGATTTGCTGATACTGAAAGGCTGTCGGTATGCAAGTGCTCCTCCCAACCCCCCAAACTAAAACGCGCGACCGACCCGACCGACCCGACTATCCTAGCCCGACTAGCCCATCCCCGGCGGATGGGGGGGAGAAAAGGGGGCGAGGGGGGCCCAGAAGGGGCGATATGTAATCTAAGTCATACATACATACATACATACGTACGTACATACATACATACATACACCATCGCTATTCCCCCTTGAAAAGGAATTATAGCACGGTGTAGATCACTAAACCATACACATACATACATACACATACACAAGCGTGCGCGCACCCCCACCTTGTGTTAATAATGCAGGGAGCATATTCTCCGTTCCCTGGACATATCTACGTTGCGACTGCTACCTGTCGTACGGTCTCTGGCACCCGGGTCAAGTAGTCTAGGGGGAGGAGGGGCCCTCGCGCCGGCGTCGCCGCTGGCGGCGGCGGCGGCGGCAGGCGCCGCGGCGGGCAGGGCCGCGGCGGCGGCATGGGAGGAGCATATCAATTCTGGAAAGAGTGCTGCCGTCACCGCCGGGGGAGACGCGATCGGCGGCGGCGGTGGCGGCGGCGGCGGCGGAGAAGAAGATCAGGCGGCGGCGACGGGGGTTTCGGAGCGAGAGCGGGAGCTGGCGGAACGTGTCAGGTGATCAGCCCACCACCACCACCACCACCATTGTCATCATCATCATCATCATCATCACCACTATCATCATCATCATCTTTTTCAAAACTTTTTCGAAACTTCGCTTTTTTGGCCGTAACGTAAATCCAAACCTCCGTGGTTAGCGGCTTACATCGTGTGCGTATAGGCAGCTGATAAATTGCTCCTTACATGACATGTGATTTCCCCCCCCCCTTCCCCCCCAAAACGCCTTTCGGTCAGTTTTTACGTTTGCTACTCTCTTGCTCTGGCAGCAGCTTCAATCGTGTGTGGTTCGTCTTTCCCCCCCAAAACACACACACAGACACACACACACACACAAACCCTGGTATCAGCCTCATTCGTCTGTAGTTCGTCTTTCGGTCTAATCCAATCTTGGAGTGTCCGCCCCCCCCCTAGGGTATATTTCCCTTTTTTTGTCAATCGTCTGATGGATCGTCGTACCCCCACCTCACAAGAACACACACCCCCACCACCACCACATTCACACATCGTTCATTTCCCCCCACCCGCCAAACCTCGTGTACACCAAACCTCGCACTCGGGGCCCAGGTCCTGAATGTTTCATCAGGCCAGCTGCCCCGCACTGGTCTGGATTGGAGCAGCTGTGGAAGGTGCTTTGACTTCTGCGCCGTACGATTGATTACCCGCCACCACCACCACCATTACCACCACCCCACCACCACCATCGCTATCTCCCGTCACTCCCACATCCGTCTTGTCCGCGGGCATTGCATTGCCGCCTGGCTCGCCCCGTGAGTCGTCTGCCTGTCTGTATGTCCATGCCTTCCTTTCCGTACGACCGACGGGCCCGCCCGACGCAGGGTCTTAGAGTCGGAGCTCAGTAACTGCCGTACGGAGCTGCGGGAGGCCCAAGAGGACCTGGAGCGGGACGAGATCATATTTGCTGACAAGATGAAGGAGCTGCAGGTGTGGGTGGTGGTGGGGAAGGGGGAAGTGAGGGAGGGGGGGAGACGGGGGGGTGAGTAAGTTAGGAAGAGAGGAAGCGTTAGGGGCGGGAGGAGGCGGGGGGTCGCGTTTGGTCCGGGATTCCTTGCAAAATCGCGCGTGTGTGTGGGGGGGGGGGGATTTGTTTTTTTCGTCTTCGGATCCCTCCCCCCTTCCCCTTCACCCTGGCACCCTCCATACACCTTCTGGTCAACATGCACTCACCCCCCTTACGGGCGCCGGTGCCGGTGCCACTACCACCGTGAGCTTGCTACTGCTGTTTTCCCTTCCCTGCTGCTGCCTTGCTACTGCCGCTGTTCTTTCCTCACTTTTTTGGGATGTCGGCAGTTGACTGCCAGTGCGTTTTGCCACACACCTTTCGCACCACGCGCCCGCCCGCTCACCCCCCCCCTAGGACGCCCTGACTTCCAGTGCGGATATGAAGCAGCGACTGGAGGATGCGGACGAGCGACATACCAGAGAGGTGTGTGTGCGTGTGCGCGTGTGTGTGTGCGCGTGTGTGTGTGCGTGTGTGTATGTATGTCCGTGTGTGTATGTGTGTGTGCGTGTGTAGAGTAGTAGTGTAGAAGTGTAATAGTGGGTAGGTGTAGGATCTGGCATGTCGATGGATCGGGGCGAGGTGGGGTGAGGTGAGTTGGGGGGGTTCAGAAGGCGGGTGGGGGGTTCGCCCAGTGAGGCCGTGCGTGTGGGTTTGATTGAAGTTATCAAGGTGAACGAGGGTGGGGTGGGGTGGGGGTGGGGTGGGGGGGATTGACTCTGGCACCAAAAGGATGGCCCCGCGCCGGCCCGCATTTTACGTGCGCCTGAAGATATGCCGATGGATATCGGGAGATGTCTCGTCCAAACGCGCGTGTTAGACAAAAAGACGAATAAAAGGCATGTACGACAAAAGAAACGATCGATTAAGAAGGAAGCTAGCTAGCGC